TAATATAATACATGTATTTGACCTTTCTAAATCGATGTGAAATAGAAACAATTCCTACATTCGGATGTTGGTCAACCCATTCGATTATATTTTCCATTTCTTCTAATGTAAAACAATTTTTTATGTCAGAATCTTCATTCTCACTGTAATCATCAATTTTATCATCGCTCTCTTCTTCATCAGTCACTTCATCATATTCACCGTTAAATTCGAGAGTATCATAAGTATAGAACTCATTGCAGTAGCTGTTTTTAAATAACTTCAAAACTTCGAATAATCGCTCTGCAGTAAAAATTTCATCGGCAGTTGTTGCAGAATTTTCAGATCCATATTCATTTTTAGCCAAATAGAGAAGATGTTTGGCTATGTTCGCTAAATTCATGTTTTAATTCGATGAAATAAGCCTTTATAAGCAGTTGATACGATAGAAAATAAAAAAGATTAATTCCTCGATAGCGTATTTATTTGTGATTTATTGACATCAATTGTAAAGAAGTAGTCAATAGACTACAAAATGATGCATCAATGCACTTTAAGATCATATAATTATTATATATGTGCAAGTTATTTTTCAAACACATCATATATATTTTTGACTTCGATACTACTTAGCTTATAGAAGATATCGAAATTAATGTGATATTAATGATATTGATAAACTTCAGAAAAATTCTTGTCGTCTACTATTGAAATACTCAGTTCATGGCATGAAAAGCTAATGTAAATAATTCATAATGTTCCTATATACCTAAATTTTGAGTACCACAAAAATCGAATATCTCTCCCTAGAGATGCCATGGGCAGCTAGTATTTTAACTTTGTTAGTTTGGCGATGAGAGCTTTCATTTGACACAAATATGTGCCATCTTTTCGCTTATTAACACACACACCTCCATTGTGAGAGACGGAGAGTCGTGACACGGTTTAAGGTTTGAGATAATCAAGTTCGTTCATTTTTTTAAAGTAACGTGACATTGAAAACGGTCAATAAAAATAGGGTTTAAAGCTGCCCAGCAATTACTATGATTCCGTGAAATGAACGTAGAACTTGGCAGGGTACGTTTTATTATAAATAAATGCATTTCAGCTAACTTTTCTTGGAGCAAATGCGCTCTATGGAACCAAAACCAAGCCAATAGCCTGTGTTTGTGGACTGTTAGACTTCATTCAATTCTTTTTACTGTTCGTTTAAGTCGTCCATTGAAAAGAGGTGAAAAGTTTCCGTTATTACTTGAAGTCTGCTCTATGGTACGTTATCTTAAAGCGTGGACTTGAGCAACTACCAATATGAATGATTGGGAGCTGGTCATATTTTGGTCCAACATGAAATCTTGCCATAACATTTTAGTTTTGAAACTCTTTGAAAAGCTTATATTTGGGTAGGACTCAAAAGTCTGAATTGTAGAATCTAATTCCATGGTCGACATTCTTCTTTCT